GCGCCCAGTCTTTGACTACATCCGCTAAAAATCCGGAACTTCAGTGTCGCCTGCCTTACCACTAGACTATACAGAGACTAGGAATATTTTTTTCTTGCATTTTATTTGGCTTTTCGATTTCCTCTGATATTCTGAGTCTCTAGAGCTCACGGCTTTTTTTTAATCAACGAAATAAAACCCACGTCTTTTCTGTCCTGGCAAAACTTGTGTTGCGAAATTCTTCATATTTCTTTTTGCGAGAATATGCGTTGCCTCAAAAAGAAAAAAACGCACACACACATCTGAAGTACTGAAAGCAGCTTTTTCGTGTTAATGGCAACTAAAACCACAAATTAAGTTCTTTTAACGATGCATTCAAACAATCAAAAGTCCTCTTCTTAGAACACACATTTGACTTCCCGATCCATCGCATTGAAGGGCATTTTTCTGAAACAAAGATCGTAACGCCTTAAAAAAATCGATAGAAATATTCTTAGATGCCATATTTCAAGTTAATTCCTTTGAATTCAGAAAAAGTTCACGAATACACGTTTGTACATATGTATGCACAGTAACAAAATAGCGCGACCAAAAAAATCAGAAAAATGTTATCCCTGCTGCGGGCGACTTCCGGAAAGGGACGAACTTTCACATTAAAACTTTTACAAATTATAGCTCGTTCAATTTACTTTCATCGAAGGATATTCGATATCAAAGTCTCACTTATAAAAGAAAGAAACCTATGATAAATATAAATCCGTCATTGAGCTTTGTCAAATGACTCACAGGTAGTCATCTAGAAAAACGTCCTCTTTATTCATAGAGTGGGGCTTTCGAAAATTTCAGAACATTAAAAAAATACTCGGAGCTCTCAGGAAATGATGACAAAAAAGAGAATGTAGATTTCACTGCACACAAATAATCAGAGTTCTTCCCTAGTTATGTATACTGTGCTCACTGGCTTTTCCCTGAAAAAGTATATAAATACTACAGTACATATACTAAAGGATAAATAAAGGTTTTGCAGGAAATTTGTTATGCTTAATAATTATAAACCTTACGAAAGTCTTTTAAATAGATCGAGTTCATCAGCAGACCGCAGCAATTATCATTCTTTGAAATTAATCATTTCGTAATTTTTTTTTTTCTGCTGGAGACGCAGTGTTCATAAAAAGCATGTATTTTTCCCGGGCTTGGTTGTTATGGACTATCGTCATCATGTGTGGCCTATTTCAAAAATGTTCGTCTCGGAACGGAATCAAATTTGAGACCGTAAGCTAAACAGTTCAGAAATTTTGATTTTTGTGAAACTTGTATTTTTTCATTGTGATCATAGCGGAAAACGGAATTGGGATTCCTTCAAGTTGTTCCGGTGCTGGACATGGAAAATCCGGAAGTTCGTGCCAAGGTCGAAGAGTTCGAAAGACTCAAAGCGAATCATTCCTCGTCGGAAACGAAGCTGACGATGAGCAGCAAATCAAGTCGTTCGAGATCTCGTGATTAAATTTCGAATGAATGTTCTTATTTTGGATTGGCTCTCTTTTTTTTTCGACATAGTTTGTGGGGTAGCATCACACAGAANTCTCTTTTTTTTTCGACATAGTTTGTGGGGTAGCATCACACAGAATGAGGATCATTGGCGGTAAACAAGCTTCGGAAGATTACTACCCATGGCAGGCTTTAATTCGCATTCTCGGCAAAGTGAACTCAACTCACTCAGCTGAAGCAAACTGTGGTGGCTCCGTCATTTCTTCAACGTGGATTCTAACAGCTGCTCATTGCCTTGATTCGTTAGTAAACAATTCATGAAATAATTTTGCCGAAATGTATCCGAAAAGCAAACAAAAGATAAACATTGTTTTCAGAAGCGTATTTAAATACAGTTGCCGTACATATTGATAATTCAGATCGTCTTTCCAAGTCAAAAACCTGTGTATGTCCTATCGGTGAGAACATGTCTGAAATCCCTTCCTTGGAAACAAATCCATTACTACCCTCATAAAATCAAATTGCGGATAATGAAAACGAAGCTTTTTTGCCTTTGAGTCACTTGGCGTAATTGAAATCAATCAAAATATGTGTAAAAAAGTTCGAAATTAAAAATTCCATTGGCGACAACAGGTACTGTATTTCTACAAGAATAAAGTCAAGCGAAATCGGTTCATCACAGAATACATGGATATTAAAATGAGGTTTTTTACTTTTCTCTTACATGTTCTACGCACACTTTGTTGCTCTAGCAATAAATTCCTGTTTTTTACGCAGCATAAAACAGTCCGTGGATTAAAAAAAAAATGCTCCTTTTTCCTCATCAGCAAAAACTTTAAAACGACAGGAATTGAAGTTTGGATCGGAGCACAC